GTCTACCTCCTTCTCCATGGCTTGCCCTCTCTCAGTACTTATACTCCTCAACTTCTAGCAGATAGGCTTGTATTTAGGGTCAACATTGACTCGGTGGGAGGCCACCTCGAGGTCAATGCCCTCCAAGTCTTCGTGGGACCAGGTGAAGACATCTATGTTCTGCCTGATGAAGTCTACCAAGGCGAATGCCTGCTCCTAGGAGAGTGAGGAGTCTATGTAGACCTTCCTCTCTAGAAGGTTGTTGTCGACCACTACAGGCTAAAGCTCTTCTGTAAGTTCACCCCTCTCCAAGGTATTGTCGTTCCTCGGGTCAAGCATCTCTATTTGGAGAGTTTCATGTGGTCTTCTGGCCCTCATAGAGGCCACATAGCACTCTCTGACTGAGACTTGGTCTCCCCCGATCTCCCCAATCCCACTAGAGGTTGAAAAGCGGAGGAGAAGGTGGTAGGTTGATGGTATTGCCCTTAGGGCGTTAAGGGAAGGGTGTCCAAGTATTACATTGTGGCAAACAGAATGTCGGCTGAGCTTTCACTATCGACTAAGACCCTCTTGACCTGGTAGTTGGCCACCATCAAGGTCAAAACTAGAGGGTCATCATGTGGGACCTGGATCCCCTTAAGGTCTTTGTCTAAAAAGGTGATGACCACTTCCTCCCCACATTGGGGTGTCTTCATCGGGCAAGAGTATTGTAACTCTGCTTGTCTGGCTCTCCAGGCGTGCACCTTCCTGGCAGAGTTGGAATCACCTCCTCCTCCTAATCCTCCGACGATGGTTTGAATCTCACTAAAGGGTTGCTGGTGCTCTCATTCTTCGTGTGGTGGGGCAGGTCCTCAACCAGCAACATACTGTCTCAATTGGCCGCACTGAATAAGCTCGTTGATCTGCTTCTTGAGCTGGAAGCAGTCGTCTGTGTCATGACAATAGTCGCAGTGGAAGTGATAGTTCTTGCCAGGATTTCAGCGCTTCGGGTCATCTTTCTGGAACAGGATGTGCTCCACTGAGGCATTGAGTGGAGTGAATGGCTGTCGGTCTCTCAGGGGCAGTGGTCCAAGACGGTCTTTCAGAGAGACTCTCTTGGCTTTTTTCCTCTTATTCTTGGTCTCCCTCTTGTCTTCACGGGTATCTTTTCTCTTTTCTCTTTTATCCTCCTCAAGAAAACTCACCCNCTTTTCTCTTTTCTCTTTTATCCTCCTCAAGAAAACTCACCCCGGTGGGCCTTGGTGATGTCCTCGACATTCATGTATTTTTTATGCCCTGGACAGTAGCTCGGGCATGTTGAATGGTGGCTTCTTAAGAACGGAGAACATGAAACTGGAAGTGCGAAGACCGACGATAAAGGTGGCCAAGGATACCTTATCATCTGGCTCTTCAACCTGGAGGACCTTCTCATTGAAGTGGGTAAGGTAGTCTCGGAGGCTTTCATCCGTATCCTGCTTGATGCTGAGCAAGTGGGTCACTGACTTCTGATGTCGGTGTCCCCCAATAAAGTGAGAGACGAAGGACCTACTCAGTTCTGCAAAAGAGTGGATGGAGGAAGGTCTGATCTTGGAGAACCACTGGCAGGCAGACCCTTTCAAGGTGTTAGGAAGGACTCTATAAATAATCTCCTCAAACACGTTGTAGAGTTGCATGAGGGACTTATATGTGTCGATATAGTCGAGGGGATCTTTAGTGCTATCGAAGATCTCGATGGTGGGCATCTTAAACTTTGAGGGCAAAGATAATTTACAATATCAGCAACAAAAGGTGTATCAGTACGTTTTACCAGGTAGTCCATAGTCTTGGGCGCCTGTGCCTTGATGGTGTTGAAGGCATCACCAAGTTGGTTTTGCACCTCCATAATCTTTTCGTCCCACTGATTGAGGACATCCTCAGTCGGGTGGTGGTACTGACTTTTATGGCCCCATATTGGCTATCTCTATCCTCGTTCTCTTGCGTAGGTACGTGCGGAAGGGGTATACGAGAGCTCCCTGCACACTGAAGAGGGACCGCTGGGCGAGGGGCTCCCTGGTGTGGCTTTGGGGCATTCTGGCAAGGGCCCCCATGATGAGGGGCTGCGTGACGCCCCAAAGGGAGGGGTTGCTACTCCTCTCCTGTTAGAGGAAGTGGGGCTCCTCTTGCAGGGTGAGGGACGGTGCCTCCCTGGGCAAGCATTAGTTGAATGATTTGTTAGTTTTGCTTTACAAGCAGTTACATAGTCTATAAGAGTTGTTGTTGCCCGGCGGCGGGAGTCGCAGTTACAGATGATTTTGATGGTGCGAGGGGAGGCGGAGCCTCCTCCCAGTGGGCCAGATTATTGTTTTTTGGCTATTAGCTCATTGATCGGGTAGTGATTGTCATGGATTGAATGAGAGTAGAAAACTAGTCGTTCCCATAGACAACGCTAAACTGATGATGTATAAATCGGTATTGCGCAAAATTAACAGTCAAGAATGTGTAAAGGGTGCAATTAATAAGCAGTGAACTAACAATGAATAGCAAAACAGCAAATAATAGCAAACACACAAATTTATAGTAGTTTGGTCCAGATGACCTACTCCACTCTCGGGAACGACAGCGGTGATCGGAATTTTTTATTAATGAATGAAATTGCTATAGAGGGTATTCTCAAGGAGTATTACAGTGCTTAAAGAGAGAGCAACGTGTGTAGGGAGATATGTAGAGATTTCAAGGTGATGCCCTCACTAAGGAGGTGAGGTAGTGACGTGAGAAAAGGGGGTTTCTATCATTTTGGTAAGTACAATTTTAGTAGGATTGGATCTATGTATCCCAATATTTTTTTCCCTCGTATTCCTATTTAGTTAGAGGATGATCTTGAGTTGGATTGGCCTCGATCCTGAGCCTGGACTTTGAGTTGGAGTAGACTAGACTTGAGTTGAAGTAATTCCAATGGTGCTAATGAAGAATGAGGAGGAGAAAGCGGAGGACGATGAAGAGGCAGGGAGCCGGCCCATGGGCAGCGCCCTTTTGGGTTCCTTGGGCAGCTCCCCCCTTTGGGGATCCTTGGTGATGGCCTCTTGGTTGCTTTGGGAATTGACCTCTTGATGTCTTTTTGGATTTCTTCTTGATGGGTTGACCCAGCTTTGATTGGGTTTTCTGGGTTTATCTAAATTGGGCTTGGCCCAGTCAAATTCGGGGCTCATCAAGCTTAAATCTCACTTTTTTCCTGTAATTTGTTTGCTTAATTTTAGATTTTTTACTAACTTAAATATTAGAGTGCCTCCGAATAGGTAAACCTGGGTATATGATAATTTATTTGTCTTGCATGGGGAAGGTGCACCTAGCTCGTTTCAATTGATCATGGTCATTCAATTCTCAAACTAGTCACCTTTGATTTTATCTTATTAAAGTAAGTATATTGTTTACAAAACTAATTTCTCATGGTAACTTAATTAAACTTGTAGCCAAGCATTTCATTATTTTCTTATTCATCTGTCTCTGTGTGTAGCAAACAATCAAGACACTATCTCCACAGCTAGGTGATCACCACTAAATCAACACACGCACAAACTCAACCCAAAGTCATTTCCCAATCAAAATTTCCACTTGAATTTATCATGGATGGTCACATTTTTGGACATAACCATAGTATCATATCTTTGCATTCAAATTAGTCCAAGTCTTACCTGCAATTCCACAACATGATTTTAACAATGATTTTTCGTCCAACCCAACGTGAACAAGCATTACAAGGTCATTTAAACGTAATTGACCATTCAAGATCATATATTAACTTTTATGAATAAGTTTTTTTTTCCCCTTGGAACTATTCACCAAAATCAGTTGCACGATGAAGAATTGTGTGGGAAGCTGCATAGTACTCGGCATAAATTGTAACATGAGGAAATCCAAGCCTGAGCAACTATTTTGAGTTCATTGGACAAAAATAGGTCAATTTGTTCGTGATTTGAGCAACTATTTTTTTGCTCGGACCAGACTATTTTGAGATCGTGTCTCTCATGTCAGTTTGTTGGTGATTTGAGTTCAAGGGTACTAGATTTAGTTCAGTGTTAAATTGGTCATGATTTTCATCCATCTTATCGAAACTGTTTAAGAGATGATCTATTATTGTTCATTCACAAATGGACCCATTGATTGCTCATGGTGGATGTCACTTACTGAATGTGTGGTTATGATTATTTGTTTACTAGTTATGCCTCTCTATTTTTGTTGCCTGTTGGTTACCGACCGTCGGTCTCCTCTTTTATCCGGTTTGACATTGTAACAATGTGCTTCTTCTTCTCTTGGATCTCAACCAATCCATTTTTCAGTCATTCACAGTGATCAATAGCTGAGCCTTTCATATCTTCGCTTTGACATTGTAACAATGTGCTTCTTCTTCTCTTGGATCTCAACCAATCCATTTTTCAGTCATTCACAGTGATCAATAGCTGAGCCTTTCATATCTTCGCTTTGACATTGTAACAATGTGCTTCTTCTTCTCTTGGATCTCAACCAATCCATTTTTCAGTCATTCACAGTGATCAATAGCTGAGCCTTTCATATCTTCGCTTTGACATTGTAACAATGTGCTTCTTCTTCTCTTGGATCTCAACCAATCCATTTTTCAGTCATTCACAGTGATCAATAGCTGAGCCTTTCATATCTTCGCTTTGACATTGTAACAATGTGCTTCTTCTTCTCTTGGATCTCAACCAATCCATTTTTCAGTCATTCACAGTGATCAATAGCTGAGCCTTTCATATCTTCGCGATAAAACCCAGAAAATCTCATGACCAAGTACCTCCTTCAGTCTTTCTTCAACTTACAAGGTCTATAATTTGAAGGAGAGTTTGATTTCCTACGATCTTAGATGAAGCTGTCGCAAGCAAATAAAAAAGAGGATTACTTTCATTTATAAATATTGCAGTGATTACACCCTTTATCATAAATTGATGGTCATACAGTACTTTCATGCTTGAATTTTCGTGTACAATAACTTACTCATCTTAACCACTTTACATTCTGTAACAATCCAAACTTTGCATATAGTCAAACTACTAAATGTATCGTATTCTAGGGAAGATATCGGGTAAGAGAATTTCTGTAATAAGACGGTAGGCTTCCTGAGTCAAATGGACTCCATCCCAGCTTATGTATTGAGCATGATTACGACAAAAAGGCACACCACTAGACCCACATACTCTGTTCTGATCGTAGTTGTATAGCCCTCCAATTCCACAACATGATCTTAATAGTGATTTTTCGTCGAACCCTACATACAAATGCATTACAATTCCATAATTCATCATTTCAGATCATAAATCAGGTTGTATGAACATGTTGATTTTGCCTCTTTTCTATTTTTTAACTACTCACCGAAATCAACTGCATGATGAAGAATTGTTTGGTAAGCTGCATAGTAGTCGGCATAAATTATATTAGCGTGAGGAAATTCTAGCCTGAGTAAGGCCAAAGACTGCTGAAGATAGTTATTCTGAACCAATACTAGCTCATTTAATTCTTTTGAGCATCCCATATCATCATAGGCTGTCACATCACTACCAGAGACTATTGTCAGGCCGGCCGGTATGCATCCCATTGGAAGATTTCCGGGAACTATGATATTCACAGCACCAAGGTGTATCACTTCCTGCACAACATGATAATGACACCCAAGGTGAATTATGGTACATAATAATTGCATTACCTAGATTGCAAGAATAGTTTCTGCGTGTGCAGGATAAAATTGTGTACATCTGATTCTTCCAAAACTTGACAGTGACGAAAGTCTCATGTATGGAGCCACCGAATAGCTTTTTTTTGGCGAATAATTGATTGAGCCATTGACAGGAGTTCTATGGGCACTTCTTCAGATTTCGAAAAGAAATAAAATAAATAGCGAAGATAGGAAATAACTAAATTGTGAAAATAATCTATATCTGTCTATATCTATATCTATATCTATCTATCTATATCTATTCTATATTACTTCTACAAGTGGTTTAAGGATAAAAAAAATTTAATTTGCTTATTTGACATTTAGAAATTCTATAATGTCTATTTTATCCGTATTTCAAGAATCCTTATTGATTTATTGGTTGCATTAATTCAATTAATAAATTCATTGTTTGGTTTTTGATTATCTTCTTTACAAACATTACAAATCTGATCCAAATCTACTATAAAATATTAACAAAAGTAAAAAAATTTGATCAACTATTGTACATTTAAACAATTATATAATACCATTTTTTTATTGCCACTCCATCTTCCAAACAAATAATTTTTAATTAATATACTTTAAGTGCAGGTTATGTATCGATCAATATAATATATATTTATACTACTTATCAATGTTAGCATCTGTAAAAAAATTTTGATTTTCTATTTTATCTGTAATTATTATAATAAAGTCAATTATACGCACATATATACTTTTATCTAATTTTTATTTTTTATTTAACTTTCAACTTGTTTTAGACTATTTTATAAAGACTTTTAATATATACTTTTATCTAATTTTTATTTTTTATTTGACTTTCAACTTGTTTTACACTATTTTATAAAGATTTTTAAATTCTTTTGAATTTATTTATTAGTTGTACAGTTACATACAATCTTCTATATCTATATGAATAAGTAAAGTCATGTATATGTTAAATTATTATACACATAGTTTCCAGATTGAATTCCATAGTCAAATATATGTTATATTTTATTTTTTAGTATGCAATAATATAATAATATAATAAATGATCTAATCAATCTATTTAATAAAATAAAAAATTAATAATTATATAATATAATTAGCTGTGCAAATGCCTAAAATAAATGACAAATTAAGTACTCAAAGACTTATAAAATAAACTAATAATAATTAAAATACGGATTAATTATTCAACATCTAATTTATTATTTAATTTAATTACACATGTAATTCACCTTTTTTATAAAAACTATGATTTAAATTTATTTATGTGCAACGCACGTCATGTATTGCTAGTATAAACATAAATTTATAAATAACTAATAATTTAAATATTAATATGAATAAAACTACATATAAAAATACCTTGAGTGGAAAAAATTAAATTTTCTAATTTTATCCTTAAATAATCCCTCAATAACAATTTGATCCTTCATTATTGTCTAATGTAACTGATCTGCATTAAGTGTATCAGCTAATAATACATTGTTCAAGTGAAAGTGGATAGTCAAAAGTATCATCTTTTCATCTACCCTTAGATAATGGAGGTTCAATTGCAACTCTCATTTAAAGCAATAACAAGATGACTATTTGTATGTACTTGCAAATCATACATGAAAAGCTAGTCGTAAGTAAAAGAGCTTAGTGCATATGTGAAGGGCCACAAAAAGTCTAAGAGTCCACCCCAATTCGTCGCTGATTAAGTATGTTGTCAAGTTTTAGTTTGGACCCTAAAGTTTTAATAAAACAATCAAGTTCTGAGAGTTTTAATTGAGTTTCAGTTTTCTCTTGACATGAAAATTTTGTGTTTTCCTATTCTGACCTTACTCAATCTTACAAATATACAACTGGGTTGAAACCTGAATAGTTTTATACTTCCATTTTCTTGCTTTTAGAATAGGATTTTTGTGAATACTATCAACTGCATTCTAATTTCTTTTTACGAGTCGTTACAAATTATTAGCTAATCTTTTCGTTGATGAGTTCACTTATGTAATTTTTACGATAATAATATAGAGCATTTTGTGACCAAAATGAAACACATGCAATGCACTTATGCACTAACTAGCCATATAGAAACTTACTCTTACAACATTAGTAATGACCTCTATGATATATGGCTGATAAGTGTGAATCTCTTGAATGGATTTGCCTTGAATGATAGCATAGTTAAGATCATTGCCTCCGATCTCGCCCACAAAGACAAGAGCCTTGCTAAGCAGCTCCTCACATTCTGAACAACCATAAGGGAAAAAATTCAGACAATTTGAGTTATATATAGGATTTTCCGTGGTATCAAAAGTAACTTCTTGATGCCGTATATAGGGTTTCTATTCCTGAAATCATCATAGTTTTGATGACATGGTTTTCAATGTAAAAGCATAAATAATACTTTTTTTTTTATTGNGTAAAAGAGCTTAGTGCATATGTGAAGGGCCACAAAAAGTCTAAGAGTCCACCCCAATTCGTCGCTGATTAAGTATGTTGTCAAGTTTTAGTTTGGACCCTAAAGTTTTAATAAAACAATCAAGTTCTGAGAGTTTTAATTGAGTTTCAGTTTTCTCTTGACATGAAAATTTTGTGTTTTCCTATTCTGACCTTACTCAATCTTACAAATATACAACTGGGTTGAAACCTGAATAGTTTTATACTTCCATTTTCTTGCTTTTAGAATAGGATTTTTGTGAATACTATCAACTGCATTCTAATTTCTTTTTACGAGTCGTTACAAATTATTAGCTAATCTTTTCGTTGATGAGTTCACTTATGTAATTTTTACGATAATAATATAGAGCATTTTGTGACCAAAATGAAACACATGCAATGCACTTATGCACTAACTAGCCATATAGAAACTTACTCTTACAACATTAGTAATGACCTCTATGATATATGGCTGATAAGTGTGAATCTCTTGAATGGATTTGCCTTGAATGATAGCATAGTTAAGATCATTGCCTCCGATCTCGCCCACAAAGACAAGAGCCTTGCTAAGCAGCTCCTCACATTCTGAACAACCATAAGGGAAAAAATTCAGACAATTTGAGTTATATATAGGATGTTCCATGGTATCAAAAGTAACTTCTTGATGCCGTATATAGGGTTTCTATTCCTGAAATCATCGTAGTTTTGATGACATGGTTTTCAATGTAAAAGCATAAATAATACTTTTTTTTTATTAAAAGCGTGTTTTCCAGCATTTATATAAAAAAGCGTAGATATACAATTACGGTTTTCACCAAAGATACTGTAATGTAGATATAAGTCACGGTATTTGGGGAATGAAGTTATGAAACAATCGTGAAATAGCAACAAACTACACAAACCTGCTGGTGCTTGGCAGATGGTGTTGAGATGGAATTTAAACCAGTTAAGCTGATCACCCAAGGAAATATTAGTGAATGGATTATAAATGCCCTTTGCGGTGAAGAAAGTATAGTCCAATGCTGTACTTCCGGCTACCGCAAAGTTGGCACCATGATCGAATGTGGCGTTGCTGTCCAGATAAGGATTAAGCAGTGGGAGAGAAAGAGCAATGGCTGTGAATCATCATCCACATAAAATAAGTTTAGCCATGTTTATTATTCTGCCAAAACACATACACATACACAAATAGGGATGGAACCATGATTTTATGCTGAGGGGGCTAAACTAAATAGTGGTCCAATTTAAAATTTATTTAATGAGATTAGTCAAGAAGTCATCGTTAATGTCAAGTAGATGATATTTTTTAGCGAGAAAAGATGATATTTTGAGATGAATTTTGTACAATTTGATCAAACTAGATGAAAATTAGATCAATCTTAAATATTGTTATGTTTTTATAAGTTGAGAATTCAACTTCTTAACTGTAATTTATATACGCTTTTAGGTGACTTGTGCAATGCATTCTTCTTTTTTTTTTCTTTTGTATAGTTAAAATGTAAATAAGCTGTTACAATATTTATTGTTGTTAAATTGTGTACTGTGATTAAAATATAAATAAATTTAAACATTTGTGGGTCCAATGTAGATCGTAAGTTAACTGTTGGATCGTAGTTTTAATTGATTTAAGGCTTTGTTGTGTTTTTTTACCTTAGTTAAAACATAAATGAATGGATAAAATATTTACTCCGGTTAAAATATACTTAGAGTGATTGTATTGGTATGTGAGTTTTTAAAAATGTTTACTAAAGGTTAAAATGTAAGTGTAGTTTAACTTTTTATAGTGGTCATAATATAAATATACTAGTTATTCTTCGTACCTGAAAAAATGAAGTAATAAAACAATGGTAAATAAAAAATATATTTGTATTTACACCCAAAATTAAATCACAAACATAGAGGAGGCATAAATAAGTTTAAACACCGATTGTAATAGGGGTGAACAGTGATTGTGGTGGTGGTGGGAGACGGTAATGGTTATGCTGAGTGGCGACGATTGTGGTGATGGTGTTAGCCGTGGGTGGGAACGGTGAAGATGGTGGTGATTTTTGGGTGACAATGGTGTAGTAGCAGCCATGGGTGATGACGGTGGTGGTGGACGACAGTGAAGGTAGTTGACAGTGGTGGTGGTGACGGTGGGTTATTATGTTGGGTAGTGATGATGGTTAGGGGTAGGTGTGATGGGGGTGAATGATAGTAGTTGGCGACAACGAGTAGTGGTCAGTTGTGATACGGGGAGGTGGTGGGTAACAATGGTGGTGATGAGTGCTGACGGTAAGCGACGGTGATAGTGGAATGATAGTGGTAGTTTTAACTAATATAAGAATCAGAAGATGATGGCGCTAGGTTGTAAAGGTGGACGACAGTTATAGCAATCGGTATTGGGTGGCGATGGTGCTAATGGTGGGACAGTGGTAGTGGTGGTCAGGGTGGCAATGCTGGTCAGGGTGGGGTGACAACGGCGGCGACGACAATAGTAGTGGAGGGGTGGCAGCTGTGACAGTGGTGGCGGCCGGCGGTGATAATAGTTGTAAGGGTGATGGTGGGATAGTGGTGGTGGTGATAGGTGGCTGCAATACTGGTGTTAGTGGTGGTTGTTATGGGGATGGGGCAGTGGGCGTCGTGGTGGTGGTTAGGATGCAATGGTGGGGGATTGGTGTAATGACAATGGTAGTGGTGACGACAGTGGTGATTTTTGCGGCATATGTTATGGTGGGGTGGTAATGGTATTGATGGTGGAGGTGGTAGTGAGGTGGTGGTGGTGGGTGGTGGTGGTTGTGATTGTTGTGGGAGTGATGGTGTAGTGGGGGTGGAGGTAGTGGTGACGATGGTAGTGGGGCAGTGGATGTGGTAGAGGTAGTGGTAAGGTGGCAACAGTGGTGGTAGTTATGGTGGTGGTAGTAATGATGATGGTGGGACAATGGAGGTAATTATGGTAGTACTTTTTTTTTATTTAAAATACTCATAAGAAATTATAAGTTTTTGAAGTAGATTTTAAAAAGTTACCCCAAACACACTCTTGTGAGCTTATTTTCTATATTAAATTTGAAATGTTAATATTAACCTTCGGATTAACTTTAAAATAAAATTTAAAGAGATCTTTATCAAAAAAGTAAAAATTATTTTATTTATTTTTTAAAATTAAATTGTATTGTACTTTATTATATAGATTTAAAATGTTTTGTACAATTAACATATTGATTGTTATTAAAAAATAAATCATAAAATTAACCGTTAGATCAATTTAAGCTGATGTACTATAAATTTCAAAAATTTTATATAAATAGCCCCTTTACTGATGGGTGTGTAGAATGCCGATTGCGATATTGAATGGTGGTTGTAGTTGTTGACCCAAGTGGTTGTGCTAGTTTGGTGGTTGGTCCACTTAGTTAATTACATATATGCCGTATTAATTGTATATATAAATAGAATAATATGACAAATATAACCAAAGCAAATATCTAAAAAGGCAACACATATTTATTTTGGGACTATATTGCTACTTTTATACTTGATTGAATGTGTAAAATGAAAATTTTAATTTTTCATATTGTAAATTGAAACTTTAAGACTATTTTAGAATACAAAGTTTTTATTTACCTTTTTTTTTTTGAAATTTAAACTTGAAATTTCGATAAAGTTATTATTGAATAAACTTTCCACTGACCTACCCTACGTTTTTATATTGTTGTGGTTTATTATTTTATTTAGATTCCTTAAGTAATCTGGCCATCTTTTTAGAAATTATTATTACATTTTCTGTCTTCTTGTCGGAGAGTTAAAAAAACCTTAAATATTAAATAACTAAAGTCATATTATTATGGGAGAATTACAACCAAATCTCTCAAGTTTATCACTTAATCACTCGGATTCCTTGATATTTAAAATATTACATATAACCCTCTAATATTTATACAGATGTAACACTTAGACCATGCCTATTAAATATATTCGTTAGTACATAACACTTAGACCTCTTATGACCTGTTTGATATATTTTTTGAAAGGAGTTTGGATTGGATTGTCAAAATTCGGGTTTAACCCAAAATGGGATTCAACATTTAATGATGTTTATATTCATATTTGGTATGCGCAAGGATATATGACTATTATGATAAAATATTTATATTTAAATGATTATTCTGCCCCTTAACTAATTTGTATATATGAAGTATATAAGATATATAGAGGTATAAATGTCATTTGCATGTTAAACCCCTCAAACTCATAAATGAAACCCCCCTGGTTTCATGAAATCCAAGTATGTAAGTTTCATGACCGGATCAAATTTGAAATCCTATCCATACTTCATGGTTGCCAAATATGGGTTTAAGGGCCCAACCCATGTTTCCAAACCCCCCCAAACCCACATACCAAACAATCCCTTAAAGTTTGTAAGTGTGTAATACTTAAATCTCTCAAGTTTAAATTGTTATGCTTAAATTAAAAATATTTCAATCAAAGACAAAATATCAAATATTTTAAATTTTATAATCAAAATTAATATTCAATTATGACATTTATTTTTGAATATCATATTAATATAATATGAATTTTGTCTGTAAAATTTAAAATATTTCATATTTTATCTTTGATTAAAATATTTTCGGTCTAAGTATAATATTTTAAACTTGAGAGATCTAAGTATTATCTGCTTATAAATTACTTGGGATTTGGATGTAATTTATTAACGTATATTGATGGCAATATTCTAAGTGTTTAGCGCGTATAAACTTTAGAAGATCTGTGTATAATATTTTAAATGTTAACACATCTGAGTAATTAAGTGAGAAATTTCGTAAATTGTATGCATAATTTTTCCTATTATTATTGTATCGAGCTTGTCCCAAAAACTAGTCTAACATTAAATCAGAAAATTAGTATCCTGTCAGGTTCGTTGAGAAAAAAAAAAAAAAAAAGACGGGATAAGTGGGAGTAACATAACGTTTAAAGCAGCTTAATTACCAACGAAGTCTATGATGAGAAGACCATTGGAACAGCGACCGGTGGGCCAGCCGAAAAAGCTTTCGCCGTAGGGTGGATGGGCGGCGGCCGGTGTTTCGCCGGTGGTGGCGCTTTGGCGAATAAGGTTCCCTGTATCCGCCAATGAATCTCCCAACTGGTATATATATTCAAAAGGGTATATGGTTTCATGGGCTTCACATGGAAGGTGAAGAAGAGAGAAAAGGATGGGTACAATGCAGAAAATTGCAGAAGCCATGTTTTGCAGGGCAAGTTCCAG